TCTCACRTGGTGCTGAAAGTGCTCATGGATATCTTGCACGAGTGAGAGCTGCACATCTCTGTTAGAGGTGCTGTTTTCCTCTTTTTATATAAACATATGTATATATAAAATACACATTATTATGTCTACTTAAGTTCTAAGGAAATGGGATCTGAAATCAGCCTGAAATGAAATGGCAGTCCCCTGAAAAACCTGAAAGCTGGGCCCTGAATTGTGGCAGAGTMCAAATTCTCAGTTTCTCAGGATTTTCTGGGTTATGAGCAAGACTGTGGGTGCAGTTTATTTATCACCTCTGCAAGATTTAATGTGATAACTCTTGAGATCTCAGCACACTGAGGTAGAATGTCATAAAGGTGTCTGGGAAACAGATGTTCCAGTCTCTGTGAGCTGCTGGGAAACCGTGCATCACTGAATTCATGTGCAAGCAGCTGCAGCTTTGCAAGCTTTCATTCCCTGAATAAATTCTTTGGACATCTATTCCACTTTGGCAACCGTGGCTGTGCTGAGCTGAAGGTACAAGTAAAGCCCAGTGGCAGCAACAGGGTGGAGCTTTTATCAAACCCACTGATAACAACAGAAAGGTGGATTCACTTTCAGGCAATCAGGTCTTGAAGTTTGGGAAGGGAACCATTACTGCCCAGCAGATATGAATGGATAGGAGAGGTTCTTTTTGGTCAGGATTTGCTTTGTGTAGGTGGTGAAAAGGTTTTCTGTGCTTTAATAATGGTGATCTCAGTGCTGCAAGATATCCACAAGACCCTAAGACAAGGCTTAATAACAGAATTATTCAGCCAGTCTTTTGGGGAAAGATGTTTTGTTGTGGGTATTCACTTTTGGCCTTTAGTTTTACAGAAAATCTGAGTGGCTGAAGCTGTAATAATTCTGTTGGACAGCCAAAATTAGCACCTGTCTTCAAATAATGCTTTTAAAAAATAAAACCAGAAATGGGCCTTGTGCCCAAAGTCACGCTGGAGGATTGCAAAATCCAAACCAGGACTTGAGACTTTTGCCTGAGCTCCTCAACCTGCTACAAGACTCAAATGAAAAGTGTGCAGGGAGGAAAGAAAAGCCTCCCTGCATGTTCTGTGCTACAGCAGAGCTCAGTGGGGAAATCTCAGCAGGGAATTTYCACCCAGGGCACAACTCCTGCTTCTTGGAGGTGGAACTGAGCCTTTTCCRTGCTCTGATCTCAGGGTGGGTTCATTCCTTCCCCGTGGAGCTGGCGATCCRTCTTATTTGATGGAGAAATTGCTATGACAAAATGCTAAAAGCTCTTGCTCCGGGCTATTTTTAATCTACTGTAGGTGAAAGATCAGAACACATTTTTGGAAGATTTATGTGCGGTACCCTCGTGCTGCGCTGGATGGGATAAATGGGAGTTGACAAAATACAGGACACGAGATATAAACCCTTGACCTGTGACATTCCGAGTCATCACGACTGTATGTTACCTCATTTATGTTCTGGAGGCAAAGCCTTTGCTCTGAGGGAATCTCAGAAACGCTCAGCAGAGGTGCAGGAACGTGGTTCTCACTCAGACTTTATGCTTTTTTTTTTTGTAGGTGATCAGTAGTTAAATCTCCTCTCAGGCCTTGGTGGGTTTAGTGCAGAACATTTCCAGGCAGTTTCATTGCTGTGTGTGTGTGCACAGGAACACAATAACATGTTTGTGCACAGGAACACATCTGTGTTTTGTGGAAAGGGCGAAGCTACTTAATGACAGCTCAGCTTGTGCAGCCTCAGCAGTTTCGCTGATCCTTTAATAGTCCAGGCTTTCCAACTGCTTCCAACTCTCTGTTCCCTGCATCCATTTCAGAAACAAGAGCCCTGATAAAGCCAGGAGACTTTAGAAATTCTCTTTTTCACTGTTTTCACATCACGTTCAGGGTTCTGCTGAAGCAGTGGTGATGTTCATCTGCACCGTGTGCTTCCAAAATTCCACCTCCTTGTGAGGGGCACATCCCAAATTAGTCTGGGGATTTGTTCTGCACGTGCAAATCTTTTCTTGGGCAGGGAAGTGTCACACGGAGACTTGGCTGAAGAAAGCAAGCTGTTTAATCTTAAATGGTAATTGTCATCCTCTGGCTAATGATAAGCAATATTATGGCCTGGGTATCAGCTGTAATTAAGCAGTAAGACACAACAAGGTGTATGTTACAGGGGGGGGGAGATAACAGTGCAGCAGAGCCAGTGACCTGCAGAGCCCATTATCTGCCAGCTGCACGAGCCAGAGTGTGCACGTGTGGTCCCAAACACCCCATCCCCTCTGCCCCTGCCCAAAACCAGGCTGCTTTTGGGGGGCAAAACCAGCAAAAAGTTGTATGGTTTCTAAAAAAAAGCTTAATTTTTGAGTAGCTGATTCCTGCATGTTTAATAAACCAGCATGAAACGTTCTTGGGGTCACTCGCTGGAGTTCAGGGAAATGGCCACCACTTCAGGCGAGGCCAGGGAGGGGTGGGGTGTGCAGGGAAGGGTTCCCAATTCCAGCACCAAACCAGCAGCAACAGCCACCTGCTCCAGGAAAGAATTCCTGCTGCTTTCACAGATAGCAGAGGGGGCTGGAACGTGGTATTAGATGGACTTTGTCTCAGAGCAGGTTTAGGGTTAGAATTAAAGGTTGGAGGAGTGAAGTTTGTACTGTTCATAGCGAGCACAAAACCTTTCCTGTCAGGGAAAGGAGGTGCCATTGCCCTTGTCCTGCACAGGGTGACAAAACGGGAGCAGGGAATGAAAACCAGGGTGGCACAAACCCCAAACCAAAGGGGGTGAGAACATCTATGAGTCCTGGTTCCTCAAGCACAATCCATGCTCTGTGCTTCAGGGATCCTAGAGGAAATCCAGGATCCTAGAGGATCATAGGGATYCTAAAGGAAAACCAGTGCTGGAGGAGGAAACTCCAGTGAGTGAGACTTTCCAGGGACAGGGAATGTAGAGCAGGATCAGTCCTGCTCTGCCATTTTCCTTCATTCCTTGTGTTACCTCTAATGAAAGTTTGCAGGGCAGAACACTTCAATGTGGATTTTTAGTTTAAGCATCATGGAYGTGGTTCTGCTGCCCCTTGGTACCGGGCTGCTGCGGATAATTGCACAAAATTAAAACACAGTGGGTCAAATTGCTGTGGTTTGTTCCYGTGTAACAGTCTGTCTCACACTTAGTTATTCATGGGTTTTCTCCCCCCCAGCCACACAAATTAGAATGTCATTGGGATCTTGGTAAACAAACTGCTGACAATTTAGTCTGGGCAGAGGAGAAGAGCAGCAATAAACTGAGAGGTGAGAATTGTCTCTCTCATCTGCTCTTTCAGCCACCAATTGCCAGGACAGAATGTGTCTGTATGGATTTCCTAAATTTGGGGTGATGTTACCCATTGAAGTGGGTGGGTTCCTATTTAGCCAAATAATAATYTGCAGGGTCTTTAGCAAGCTGGGAGCAGGGTGGACAATCCCGAGTTGTGCTGTTTGTTGTCACAAGCAGAGGTCAGTTCCGAGGGCTGGGATGGCTGAGCCCATCTGGACCCTGATTTCAGTGGATGTCCTGGATATTACTGTATTAAAAATATAAATACATAAAGTTAGGCTTAACATAAGAGCAGAGAGACAAGGCAGAGGCCAGAACCAGCTGTCTGCTCCTCGGAGCCCCTCTCCCGGGTGCGAGTGTTTCTGATTACAGCTGTGCACTGTAAATGCCTGCTCCATGTCTGGGGATAATCCATTCAGAGCAATTACAAGGCATCCGTCACCAGCAGGACCTGAGCCACAGGCTGCTTATCTGGGAAAATTGATGGAAGGGAAGGAGAGAGCGAGGGGAGGAAATCAATGCCTTTCCCCAGCGTTATCTGCCAAATTGAATTAAGCAGCACGGGATCCCTGCACGGGAGCTGGGCAGGGATGGGGGCACCTTCCCGGGCATCCCCCGACACCTCAGGTGGGCACAGCGAGTTCAGATCTTCCCCTGCAGAACCTCCAACCCCACAGCAGCAGATCCAGGTGGGAGCTTTGTGTCTGCTCAGTCCTGATGCACAATCCCGTGTTCTTTTTTTGGTGCAGCCCAAGTCCCATCCYGGTTTTTCCAGGCGGAGCGTTGGAGGGAAGGCAGCAGGGCTGACATCAGCAAAGATGCAGTAATTGCAGGCTGCAGAGCCAGGACTAGGAAACCTCTGCTGCTGAAAAACGCTGCGTGTGTCAAATCCCTTGGCACCGTGGTTAATCCTGAGCTGGGAGCTGCTGCCAGGCAGAGGGGCTGCAATTTGGGGCACGGGGTTTGTGGGGGAATTGAACCAGCCAGGAAATGGAGCAGGGAACGTTTGGTGCCGTGCTTTCCTCTGCTGCTCCTCTCACCTCGTGGGATGGAATGAGAACTGAGGGAAATTGGATTTTTCCGTGTCTGACTGGTCAAAGCAGGGCTGSAAATGCAGGAGCTGGGTTTGGGAATGCTGAGCAGCCTGGGAAGGGACACYTCACCTCGCTGGGCCTGCAGTCAGCACCACAAAGGAGATTTTGGTGGCTTCTCCCCAGTGGGATTGCAGATCCAGAGAAGTCACACTGGCACCTGGGCTGACTGCAGGGCTTTGCTTCCACCCACGGGCTGTGTGGAACCTGCTTTGACCCTGGGTCACAGAAAAGAAAGGGTTAAATGACCCTTTTTGACAACCAGTGATGGAATTTCTGTTCCAGGTCTGGAACTGAGCACATGGAACAACCCAAAACGCTGTGTTACCAACAGGGTTTGTAAAGGTCTCCTTGTAAACTTTCTTCCTAAGATCATGGTCACTGATGGTCTTTATGGCATTTACAAAAACGAGATTTTGGTGCAAATCTGACCTCCTTTGGAGAAGTGAAAYCTCATTTTCTTTTGACCTGTGCAGGTTTTCTCTTGTTCCATGGAGTGTTCCTCAACAGTCCATAGGGATGGGAGGTGGAAGGGTCAGAGGGCCAGGATGGCTGGGCCAGGGTGGCCCTAGGGTGGCTCTGGGACAGTCCTTTAAGGGTAAAATTCTCCAGGTTCCAGGTCGAGGAGCTGACTCAACAGAAAACCAACACCAAAGTAAATCCAAAACRAGCCAGAAACCCCACCAAAGCTGAGCAGAACAATTCAAGCTCCATCAATCCAGCCCAGAGAGCCGTGGAAACTTCTTTTCCCTCCCAAATAAAAGTGTGTGGGAATTTGCATGGCAGTCAGGTAATACTTAAAGCGCCCATAAGCCATCCCATAAAAATTCCAGTGGCGTGTACGTCACRCAGCTGGGTTTTATTAGAGCCCTGCTCTTCCTCCTGACAGTGCCTGGGAGCTCAGATCTCCMTTAACTCTGCCATTCCTGCCCTTCTGCTGCTGCTTCCCACATTCCTGGCGTTTGCCATATGTTGTAGGATCCTTGCAGGATGGGTTTATTTCATTTTAATTTGGTTTTTCAGCAAATKAAGGTGGGAGCACGTGAAAAGTGTGGGGCAGCAAGGAAGGCTGTCCTCATTTTTCCCCGAAATCCCTCAGGCTTTTCCTTTCCCTGGGCTCCATCTGCCAAACTGGGATTGGGGGCTGCTCCCAGAACAGTGGGAACCACTCAAGTTCTTTGTTTAACCCCATTTATGGGATTTTGTGGCCTTTTCTTTGAGCCGTGCCCCACACAAGGTTTGGATTTGCCACGTGTTTGGGTTTTCAGTGGCGTTTCCTGATGGCTGGACAACACAAGCTGTTGAATAAGACATGAAAAAAGTTTTTAACTCCAGGCCTCAGGAAATTGGATTTTTATTTCTGATATTTGTATTATTTCAGCTACTTTGAGTTTGGGTCAATTCAGCTCACTTGGTTACTGAGCAGGTTCAGGTCTCAATGTTTCTCATTTTTACTAAACTGAAGTTTTTCTGTCAGCAGAACCAGAATTTCCAAACCCAGTTGGTTCCCCCTTAACCATAAACAGCTTGACTGGGCTTCACCAATCTGTGTTGGTGACAGAATACTCCATTTTTTCAGCCTCTGCTACTCAAATTTGGTTTGATATTTAGTTTGTAACAGGAATACCACAACAAGTCTCTCTGAGAAGGAACAGCAGGAGCAAAATTATTTGAACTTTTAATTTCAGAGTGAGAGTAACTTAACTTTGTCCAGGTGGAAGGACACAGATCTGGATGGGATGTGGGGCACAAGATCCCTTCCAAGGATGTTCAGGACACAAACCCACCCCTTGGAAAGCTGAGTGAGTCACAAATAAGAAGYAGAGATTTATTTCTTTAAGCTCTTTGCTCATTTTCCGGCTTTTCCACTGCTTTACAAGGGCATTTCAGAAATGTCCCAGAGCTGTGGAAATTCTGCAGCCACTTCTCAGAAAACCATGAGAGAATTATTCTGACATATGTTTCCATCTCCTGCTTTTTGCATTTTCCCCTCTTGTGTTTCTTTTTTCTTTGACCTAGAACAAACTTTTCTATGCTTACAATCCTTGCTATTCCAAAGAAATTCCACTTGAGTGTTAGAATTTCCCCAATTGCAGCAATCCCAGTTAATTCCAGTCTTTTTCCAGCAGCAGCCCTGAAGAGGATTTTGTGTTCAATGATGCCTCAGGGAGGATAATTTTCCTGGTTTGTCTAGGAAAACAGGAAAAAGGTGCTTGAAGGGGGAGCAGCACCTCAGCAAAGCACAGAGAACTCCAAAAACATCCCAGAGCTCTTTATTTTTTTTCTGGACAAACAATTTTATTTTCGGTAATGCGTCTATACACTGTACATTCAGTCACTGTGGTATATAAGCATAGCTATTTTCATACATAATCTCATAAAGTCCTTTATTTTACAATATTATCTGCATCGGGGGGGAGGGGATGTGGAAAAGGGGGTGGAAAAGGACTATCAAGGTACACAGCGAAATAGATAAATATGCCAAGCTTTTTTCTTATTTTTTTTTAAATCAGGCATTTATAAACAAGAAAGCATACATTACTTACATAAAAATAGTTCTAGAATAGTAGAGTAAGTCATAATATTGTCATTAGCAGCAGCATAGGAGAGACCAGGATAACAAAAATGTGCTGAAATGCTATTGGCTATTATAAATGTAAAGATTTATTTTTYTTAAATTRAAAAAAWGTYATTTCTGTGAGTTCTTTTGATTTAAAAAAAAAAAAAAAGAACAAAACAAAACCCCCCCCAAAAAAACAAAACAACAACCAAGCCAACAAAAAACTTCTCTCTAAAACACATGGACTGCTGAGAGGGCAGAATGGAACAAAAATCAACCTTTTGGTAATAAAATACTTTACAGTGAAAATAAGGACAAATAAAATGCAAATGATGGAGAAAGGTTATAACCCACATTGAAAACTTGCAAAAAGATTTTGTTTTGTTTTTTTTTTCCTAACAGACAGCAAAGGTTCTTCTCAGTTAAAAACACAACTCATAAAACAAGACAACTACCAGGTAAGAAAGAGTTTTGAAAAAGTAAACACCATATACACTTATAATACAACAGTGTAAAATGAAAAAAAGTATTTACATGTTGAATTTACTTTTAATGTTTTTTTTTACATTGGCTAGTTCTGTTTGAAAAGCAGAATATTATGTATAGAGTTAGCTGCTCCATAGATATGAATGTTATTGCTGTTGGTTTTTTTTTTTCCCTTCGTTAAGTCTTCTTTCAGTAATAGAAACAAGGAGTAATTAAACTGAATATACAAGTAGTAATATATTTGTAGGTACAGGGAGAGTCAACAGCCTGTATGAAACACCTCTTCTCCCTTGGAACTTCTTAAAGGAAACTAAAGCACGGAGGGGAAGGGGGAGGAGATGGAGGGGCAGCCCCTCTCCCTGGGAATGCAGGAGGAAGAATTCCATGGGATTGGGCTGCCCCAGCTTTACTGAGGTGTTGCAGACAYAGAAATGACACCCAGAGCTCCCTGGCCTCGAGCACCTTCACACAGGGGGCTGCTCTGCAGAACCCCCCCGGTGACAATCCCCCTCTGGGGCTGCCACAGAGACACTGATAATTGTTCTGAATTAAAGAAATTACACCCTCTGCAGAAACAATCCTGCTTTCTGCAGAAAGAATGATCTGATTGTTAAACATGGTTAGGAAAAGCCCAAATGGCTTAAGCCAGACCCAGCCCTGTGAGCCCCTCCTGGGCAGTGGCTGCTGCTGGGGAAGGTTTGGTTTGTTCCTGCTCTTCTTGCACCTTATTTATCTTCCTGCTTTTAAACCTTAATTGACAGAAATGGCTTTTCACTCCCCAGCACATAATTCTAGGGAGTCTTGGGGTGAGTTCAGCTGCAGGTATTGCCCTGCACAGAGCTCTGAAGGTGGGGCAGAGGAGGAAATCCCAGGCTGAATTTCAGTTTGGAGATTCTCTGCTGCCCCCGTGACCCTTCCTTCACCTGTGCAGCACAGGTGAGGCTGAATGGGGGTGTATTTTTAATATTCTGGGTTTTAACTTTGAAAATCCCACAGATTTCCTTCCTTCAGGAGCATGGGAGCCTCATGCCCAGTGAGTGACTGCATTTCCCTGGACACAAAAAAGGAAAACTCACGGTGTGCTCAGGTGATTGGCTTTTCCTGGGGAAAACAGCTGGATGTGGACACATTGCCTTTTATTTTTTGGGTTATAAAGGGAGAGAAACTATCAAAGATCAGGGGGAAAACCCAAACAAGCACAAGTTCCAAAGCCAGGCTTCCATGAGCTGCCAGGGGAGCGGGGTCTGTTCTCTGTGTGGTTCCCAACACGGCAGTAAAGCAGAGCACGAGAGACTTGAAATGCACAAAAATGATCAGCTACAGCTACAGTTGTTTAGTTTCCCTTGAAGAAATAAGTGGATAATACAGATCTGGAAATCATAAGGCTGAGAACATTTTTCTGCATACTGCATAACAAAAGAACCCCTTTACATAAGACAGTAATAATGCCCATTAATGACTATATGGCAGAGTTTAATCCATGCATATGATTTAATAATCGCAGAAAAAAAAAACATACAAAGAAAATAAAACCCCACATTAAAAAAAAAAACAAAAACAAAAAAACAAACAACCTGCTCAAGCATAATCAAAATTCCTTTTGCATTGCACTTTAGAAGGAGATCTGCACCTAGAGCCAGTCTCCAGCATCCCAAACACACAAGGGCCAACCCCTGTAGCCACAGACAGGTTCAGGTCATTGACTTGGTGTGACTGTTTCTGTTTCTTGCTCCCAACAGTTTTACATTGTCCCAGTAATTCCATTCCTTTCRTATTTCTTCTTTTTTTTTTGTACCTAAAACATATATATGAACTTCTTTGTTAATGCTCACAGTTATTATAATGGTTATTATAATGGTTTCAAGCAAACAGCTCTTGTTTAAAAAAAAAAATCTCTCTAATGTACTGTAAGTAAATACCATAATTTTAGGATTGGAAGCCGCTTTCTGTCTACTGGGAAATAATTTTGAAGCTTACATAGTTTGCATTAATGTCCAAAAGCAAATAAAGATTACTGGAAATATGTGACTTCTTTTAGAATAACTTCTGGGTATGATGATGCATAGGGGGGGTTTCTCTTTTTTTTTTCTTTTTTTTGTTTCTTTTTATTCTTTAAGGTAAAAAAAGTGTCAGCATTGCCTAGAGAAGATGCTGAGAGGAAAAATGAGCTGGAAGGCACATCTGCAGCCCTAGATCACATTTTCACTTGCTTGAGTGTGTCAGAGGTGAGTGTTTATGGGTGAAAAATAACTTTTCTCTTGATCAGTAAAGCACCAGCTTTATTTGTTAAGCACTTTGGGGAATCTGCTGCTTCCCCAGCTTGGGTCAGACACACAGCCACAAAACCAGGCTCTAACTGAACCAGCAGCACAGGGGGGAATTGCTGGATCCTCCTTTGCTTAAATGGATGTGATGGGAGGTGTCAGTGGTGGCAGATTGGGTTTGCACAGCTCTTAGGGCAGAATCTCAAATGCTTGATGTGTATGTTTTAGAAAGAGGGAATAAAATGCAGAGTAAGATTCTGACAAAGTGCAGGTTTTTTTTAAAAAAAAATAAAATACAAAAAAACCTCAGCACCACCCCCAAGGCAGTGATGGYTTGCTGCATTGTATCCCCGGGGCTGCGGCTTGGATCCCAAAATTAAAGTAATTTCTCTTTTTTAAAAACAAAAAGTTTTTTTAAAAAAAGATGTAGGCTTATTCACAGCAGCAAAAATGTTGGTTTTCTGTTYTGTAGTATCCGACACTGCGACGTTGGACTCTCCTTGGGCACAGAAATCCTGACTGACAGTTCAGAATGGAAGCAGGGAAATACTGAATTCATGGTAAGATGGTGCAACAAGATGAGTTTTCCAGAAAACTGAAAGCTGAAGATTTCAGAATGACTTCAACACACAGATGTCTCTGCTTTGTTCCTCTACCAACTGCTCATCCATTTCCTTCCTTTCTCTCTTTCTTTTCCCAAGGCTGAAATGCTCTTGGGTGAAGTCTCTGAACGCAGAGGGGTCTGTGGGGTCGGGTTGGGGTTCTCAAAACAACCCCTTCTCCTCCCCTCACCCCTGCACACTGCTGCAGCTTCCCTTCTTCCTGTGTCCAGGGCAGGAAATGGACTTGGTTCACTCTAATGAAAAAAAAAAAATCAACTTGGGAAAGCACTCTGAACTTCTCCTGCACCCACGGGACGGGATGGAACCGCGAGGGCTTCCGAGATGGCTGGAAAACTGCTCCTGACATGGCATCATCACCACTGAGGGGCTTCTGCACAAAGAATCCCAAAACCTATAAAGTCATTAAAAATTGTGCATCGAAGGTTTGTTTTTTGTTGTGGTTTTTTTTTTTTTCTTTTTTTTTTGTTTTGCTTTTAAAGGTTCATTATAAAAATCTCAATAATTTTTTTTTTTAATACCAAGTCTGTGTAATGAATTATTTTAAATAGCTTATAAGAAAAAGTTGGTTTGTTTTTAAATTCCAAAATGTCCCAACAGGCAGGAGAACACAAAGCCACTGCCCTGCTCGCCTTGGACTCCGGGTTTAGCTGGACCACGCTGCTCTGYTTGGAGTTTGCCGGTAGAAAATTTCGCTGTGGACTTAAAAGTATTTTGTTTACAAACACTTTGTGTTTCTTTTTTTTTTTCTAGGCACAGTAAGATGTTGTGCTATATGGATTGGGTAAAAAAAAAAAAAAAAAAAAAAGGGAAGAAAACATCTTAAGAAAAAAAAAAAAAAAAAAAAGAGGCGGAATTCAGTGCTTCTGTTCTAGAGAGTAACAACATTTGCCTTCCAACTACTGAGAATCCGTWTTCCTAAAGTGTGTGCCAGGACACCGCTACTCACACGTGCGCTCCCAGTCCCATCTGTCCCTCCCCGTGCTGGGGACAAGGTTTAGTTCTCCAGGGGGCTGGAGGTGCTCTCACTGCTGGGCTGGCTGCTGGCTTTAGGCCACAGTTGTTCCTGAAGTTCCTTGACCACTTTCTCCAGGTGCTCGCGGGCCTCGCGCTCGTGCAGGAGGTCGGCGCGGAGCTGCTCGCGGTCGGCCTCGGCGTGCTGCAGCTTCACCTGCAGGTCCTCGATCTGTGGGGACAAACACAGGGGGTAGGAACAGCCTGGGGCAGCATGGAAATTATCAGTGTTGAGGGCAGGAAGGAATTCCCTGCTCTGTTTTCCATGCACTGCAGCACAACCCGCTTAGCTTTGAAACCTAAACACTCCCAGCAGCTCCAGCTCCAGAAAGGAAAGTGAAAACCAGAAGAGTTAAGAAATTCCTTAATGTTAACTCTGAGCACTTCCTAAAGCATCACTGTTACTTCTTTAAGCAGTGACAGCAGCTCAGCAAAGCAAACCCCAGGTGGTTCACAGGGGATTCACTTTCAGCTCTATCACAATGATAATTTTTATAAGTAAATATTTACAAAGTTAATATAATTGACCAGAAATGGCTGCTGATGGGCCCGGCCTGTCCCAGCCCTGCACTGTCCCCTCTTTGCTCACAGCAGGACCTGCAGCAGCCCTCAGCCTCCCTGACCTTCCTGTTTGGTTCTTTCTGACAGCAAAGGCAGAAAATGCCCCCAAGATCAGAGGGTGCAAATAGCAGAGGAGCAGTGCCCTTCAAGAAAGGAAATTTTGGCAAAGATTGCCATTTAGCWAGGAAAGGAAACCTCCAATGTTTTGGGCTAAAATGCAGGTAAAACTCCCCCCATCCATATTTGGATTTCAGTATCAAAAGTTAAGAAAAAAAGGAAGGCCTAAAGGTGTTAAGCATCTAATATTTGAAGTTTACACTTCATTTCCACCCTGACTGTGTTGTTGTCTCCCCTCCYGGCCTGATGCTGTTTCTGTCACACTGAGCTGGTCGAGAGAACTGTGGTTTCCTCAAAAATAGTGACCAACTTCCTGTTGCACCCCAAGCTGTGGCTATAAGGAYGTCTAAAGCTTTCCTTCAAATTTCTAACGACTGAAGAATTTAAGTTATGATGACATCAAATCCAGCCTTGGGAGTGGGTTACTCACAGGAATTCTGTGGTACCAGCTGTGCCAGCCCTGAGACAGGAGCTGCCACATGCCCTGTGCCCAAGGACAGCTCTGGGGGCTCAGGGGTGGCTGTGACATGAGCTGCTGCAGGGGACACTGCCAGCCTGGCCTCAAAAAAAATAATTGCATATTTGAGTTCTTTTTGAGGTGATTTTTACCCTTTATGCTTAGCAAACTTCATGTATTCCTTCCCAAAGAGGGAATACAGTAGGAGGCTGAAAATCCCCAGTGCCACAGAGTGGTGCAGCCCCTGCAGGGCACAGCAGAGCCCCCAGCCCCAATTCACCTGCCCCGAGCCCTGCAGGGCACAGCAGAGCCCCCAGCCCCAATTCACCTGAGCCCCCAGCCCCAATTCACCTGCCCCCAGCCCCAATTCACCTGCCCTGAGCCCTGCAGGGCACACCAGAGCCCCCAGCCCCAATTCACCTGAGCCCCCAGCCCCAATTCACCTGCCCCCAGCCCTGCAGGGCACGCCCAGCACAGCAGCAGCCCCGGGCAGCTCTGTTTAGTCTGGCCAGCCCTTATCAGCCCTTATCAGTGAGACATCCTGTGATGCTGAGAGGAAGCCCCACATCATTTCCTGCTCCTGGCCAGACGTGTCTCAGCGGGCGCAGGCGGCCACTCCCCTTCCCCTTATCAGAGCCCTGCTGATTGCCAGCTTGGCTGCTGAGCTGCCCTTCCCCCTTAGAGCCACATGGACCTGCAGCTCCATCTCTAGCTGTGTCCCTCTGTGTTCCCTCTGCCAGGAGCTTTCCAGGGCTGTTAAACTACTGGAAGTATTTGAAATGCATAGAAATACACATTAAAATAATAATGTGTATATATATATAAATATAAACAGATTAAAGTGTGTCGGACAGGAGCTTTTCAGGGCTGTTAAACTATTGGAAGTATTTGAAATGCATAGAAATACATATTAAAATAATAATGTGTATATATAAATATAATATATAAATATATAAATATAAACAGATTAAAGTGTGTTGGACAGGAGCTTTCCAGGGTGGTTAAACTATTGGAAATATTCGAAATGCATAGAAATACACTCTAAAATGTTAAAAGTAGTGGGTATATATAAACAGATTAAAGTGTGTTCGACAGGAGCTTTCCAGGGCTGTTAAACTATTGGAAATATTCAAAATGCATAGAAATACACACTAAAATGTTAAAAGTAGTGGGTATATATAAATATAAACATATTAAAGTGTGTTCAACAGGAGCTGTGCAGGGCTGTGTTGGAGGGTTCCACAGAAGGCCCTGCACACTGGTGCACAGAGTTTAAATCCAGTTTAAACTCATTTTCTGGAATCCCTGCCCTATTTTGGTGCTTTTTCCAGTCTCCAAACTGGGAGCAGTGTTATCCCCCGTGGCTCTCACCTGTGCTGAGTACTTGGCWCGGAGCCTGCCGGCCTCGCAGCCCTTGTCACACACGCGGATCTGCCGCGCCTGCTCCAGCTCCCTCTTGAGCCGCACCCGGGACTCGTTGGCTTCCTTCATCTTCTTCTCGTTCTCCGCCCGCAGGCGCTCGATCTCCTTCCGCAGGTTGCGCTTGGCYTCTGTCGCTTCTCTCAGCTTCTCCTTCTTGGCCACTCGGAGGAACTCCAGCTCCTGGGACACACAACGGGTGAGGAGTGAGGAGCAGAGGCCAGGGCAGTGACCACAGAGCCACCCAAACTCTGTCCAAACCCATCCAAACCCCATCCAAACCCATCCAAACCCATCCAAACCCCATCCAAACTCATCCAAACCCCATCCAAACCCATCCAAAGCCATCCAAAGCCATCCAAACCCCATCCAAACCCCATCCAAACCCATCCAAACCCCATCCAAACCCTATCCAAATCTATCCAAACCCATCCAAACCTCATCCAAACCCCATCCCTAGCTCCATACAGAGCCATCCAAACTCATCCAAACCCCATCCCCAGCTCCATACAGAGCCATCTAAACCCCATCCAAACCCATCCAAACCCCATCCAAACTCATCCAAACCCCATCCAAACCCCATCCCCAGCTCCATACAGAGCCATCCAAACCCCATCCAAATCCCATCCCCAGTTCTATACAGAGCCATCCAAACCCCATCCAAACCCCATCCCCAGCTCCATCCAGAGCCATCCAAACCCCATCCAAACCCATCCAAACCCCATCCAAACCCCATCCCCAGCTCCATACGAGACATCTAAACCCATCCAAACCCATCCAAACCCCATTCCCAGCTCCTGCTGCTGTGACCATGACTGAACCCCGCTCTGAACTCTGCACCAGCTCTTCTCCTTTAAATCCTGCGGGGTTCCTGCTCCCCATCCACCCCAAAGCCCTGGATAACAAAAAGCTCRGCGCTACAGCCCCGTTTTGCTTTGTCAAGCAGAATGGCTGTGACCATCTGGGCCTGAATAAAGATGAACTGCAGTTGGAGAGAGCTCCAGCACCAGCTCCACGTTCCAAAGCACCCGACTGCAGTGCCTGGGCTGGAACTGAAAGCTCTGGAGATGTAAAGTGCAGTTCCTGAGTGTCCTTTGTGTACAGCAAAGCTTGACAGGACATCAGAAACCAGCTCCATTTTATCGAGCCCCCTAAAAAAACACTCAAGGCAAGGACAAAACCACACTGTGTGTGTTTGCCAGTTCTGGGGTGAGCCCCAAGAACTCCTGACACCCAGCTCTGCCACAACAGCTGGAAAACTCCAGGCTAAAACCTGCAGCTGAATGGAAACCACACTTTGCTCTGGGAACTGCCACTCCCCCTGTCCAGACTGGGAGCTGCTGCCTTGGAATCTCAAAGCCATGAGGGAGCCATTAATTGARGTGATAATGATAAAGAACCTCAAGGTACAAAGGCAGAAACTCCTAAGYTGCTCAAACACACGTTCACAGCACRSACAGAGATGAGGCTCATSAAAGTCTGTTTCCTAAATGGTTAAATTAGMAACTACAGATCTATTTTTTCCCCCAGAAGCAGCAGCATTTCCTCCCCGTCCGAGTCAAACCCTCCAGCCCCGGTTGCTGTGAAGTAACAGCGCAGGGTCATGRGAAATTCGCTGCTTTGACAATCTCACTTCCCAGCCAGGCCATTGTTAGCTGGGCCATGGCCCTGGAAATACACACAGAGCCCTGGAAGTGCACAGAGCTCCTGGAAATACAAACAGAGCTCTTGGAAATACACAGAGAGTCCCTGGATGTGCACACAGAGCCCTGGAAGTGCACACAGCTCCTGGAAATCCACAGAGAGTCCCTGGAAGTGCACACAGAACCTCTGGAAATATATGGAGAGTCCCTGGAAGTGCACAGAGAATCCCTAGAAGTACACACAGAACCT